GCTTATCACCATTTCGTATATGGTCTTTCTTATAAGTCAGGATGACCTGTTTCTTTATGGTTGGAGTAGATTTGGTATTTGCAGTCGCACTGTTCAGACATCTTCGGGCGAAAATCTGTGGAAACACGTTGCATAAGAACGACCTAAGCATATACTCCCTTTTCTCTAGTTCTACTTCTGACGTGATGTGGTGACTTCTCTGTAAATGAGGGTCCTTAAGAAGCCTATTTTATAACGTTTTTGATGGGTTTTGTCAAAATGCAGGATCTGATCCGCTTCTGCTTCGCTGCTGTAAACTAAGGCCTGTATTTTGCCTTCTGATTTCCGCTGGATTAATATTTCCAGGATGGCGGATTTATGTTCTCCTTTGTGTTGTTGAGCAAATTGCATCCAGTCTGCACCGAACTGCGTTTGACTATCACGAATGTATCATTTAGGTATCGGATCTACTGTTTCGAGTTGATGATTGGGAGCAGGCATTCATGCAAATGTTGCGTTACAGTGTAGGTCACTCCTTTGAAAGTGATATGGGTCGAGCTAAATTAGCTGAGTGGTTTTGCCTATACCTTCAGTTGTCGGTTTTTCGACTGCTTTTCCGTCGTTATCCATACGTTGTGATGATTCACTTCGTAAACCGTAGATTAATGGAGGGAACATGGCTAGGTAGTCGACTGATACCATTATTTTTTCTTACTCTGTTCACTTCTATTTTGTTTAGAAATGGATGGATAGATTTGTAGAGTTCTGCAACCATATGGGTTTCCATATTTCTTTAGCTAGATTGTGGGCGGGAGCGCCCGTAACTGAGACGATTGACCCCGTTTGTACAGCATTCTTATGCAATCTTGGAATATCTTGAGGTGCGTCGAATCACGGGTCCTTATTTTGTCATTGCCGTCCGGTGTGATTAGACCCAACTGTTGAAGCATTTTTGATGTCTTATTCGCCGTAATATCCATAACTCTAGGTGTTAAACGGTAGTGCCCATTAACTGACACAAAGTAAAGTTTGATCGACGCAGCCTGGATTTTAATTTGTGTAGCTCATTCTATTTAGGTAATCCGTAAAATTCCTAATGATATTTGATGTCAGGTAATTTCATGTTTTTTGTTGTTTGTTGCTTTGTTTTGAGGAGTTCAGTTGCCATTTTAACAAGCGGAAGAAGCTCATGATCGGACTGTATTATTCACCGAAACTTCCACCTAATTTGAGGCACCATGTTCGTCTCCATCACACTGGCGCGCTAATGTACTAGTGCTATCGTTTGGTGAGGGCGTACCCTATGCATTCCATGGTGGATAATAAACCATATCAGCTGGTCCCGTTGACGGTCGCTTTCCTGATTTGCTTGAAACATGAGGCACGTGGAGATGGGACACGTGCTGTTGCGAGGTCGAATTAGCTTCAGGCTGCTGTGTTGCACTTTTGCGAAGTTTCGTTGTGCGGTTGGGAAAGGACTGAACCACAACGTTTAATATGAGCTCCTTTCGTTTTAAATACAAGAGACTTAGGAACTTTCACAGCACGATGTACCAGATACAGACAACCATTTTTCGCCATGCAGCTGCTTCCTCATCTCAAATACCACAACCAGCACAGGGACAACTATTTGCTTGCTGGAATCGTCTCAATGTTTGTTACGTCATTTTTGCTGTCAGTATAATGGTCCTTCACTTCACTGGTCAAAGATGTAAAGTTATGTTAACCATGGTACTGTGCCCCGTCCTATGCGGTGATTTTATGTATATTTTATGCCCTGCATTTATCACGCATGAAGAACACAACGAACTAAGGCTTACGAGAGATTTAGCAGAGGGGAACCCAGTTGCATTCATCACTGTTTTACGATTGCAAGAAAAGATTCGTTACACAGACCTACTGTCGCAGAACTCGGTCCTTCAGGGACAACGGTATATTCAGCAATAATGACAGCCTGACAAGCGTGTAGAAGCCTCTTTATAAATAATTAAGTCATTCCATAGCTAACGACGCTGTTGCACACATGAGATTCTTCCTTTGAATCAGTTAAAAAACCGTTCCAGCGAACCAATCAGCGTATAGCCGAAATATGCGTAAGTCTCCAATCAACTGCGCTGTTCACGTGCTTGCACAATCCTAACACATCCTTCCCGTTTTCGGGATCGACTGCATCGGTGTCGTAGAAGACTCCGTACGCTCTTCCGCTCCGCGTCGTCTTTGCTGCCTCTGTCGTTGTGACTCTCCGTAAGGTGTATTTTGCTGCAGGTTCACCTTCTCGTTCCCGGTGTCGCCTCAGCTGCACTCGGTTCCTTCTGATTGCCTTCCCTCTGGTACTGAATTCATAAGGTTTTTCTCCAATCTTAGTGATTACCACGTCTTTCTTCCATCGTTCGCTTACACTCGGTATTGCTTGGATCCACACTTCATCATTTACTGACAGCTCCGGTAGCGCCCGGGTCATGCGGTCACAATACCGTTTCTGATCTGTCATCCGTTTTCTTAAGCCTCTTTGCATTTGCTCTTGCGGTAACAAGACGGTCTAAGAGTTCAGCAGTCGCAGGCATTAGGGTTCCTATCCTACTGCTGTACAAACCTTCTACTGAACTGAGATTGATGTTATCTAATGGATTATTGCGAATCTCCAACAACATTAGATACGGGTCCTCATGAGTGGCTCTGTCTTTCGACAACAGTCTCTTGGTTTGTTTGACCGCTGCCTCTGCTTTTTGTTAGACTGACTGTCGATGCGAAAATTCCCACTTGTTCGCGCATATCTGTAACGCACACTTGTAAATTGTCGGAGACCAGTTACTCCGAGATTCCTTGTCTGACAAACCGACATATAAGCTTCTTGATAACTGTTTCCGTGGTGGTAGCGGTGAGTGGCTCCATCTCAAAATAGTCATTGTAATAGTCCAGTGTGATTAAATAGCCCTTCCCGTTGTCACAGAAGTAGTCTACCGCTACTTTCTGCCATGGTCGATCTGGAATCTCACGTAATATCATTGCTTCCCTGGCTTGGCGAGCGTCGTGTGACCGACAGACTGAACAGCTTGACACATAGTCTCGGATTTGAATTGACAACCTACGCCTGAACATCAGTTCGCTTGCCGTACTAATACAGTTGTTGACGCCCAAGTTAGATCGATGAGTGTTCTAGCCTTTCTTTGCGAATCAGCGGTGGGATAAAAACGCGACTTCCTTTAAACAGAAAACCGTCATACACCGTTAATTCATCCCGAAACTTGGAAAACGGCGTTAATTCCTTCAGAAGCTTATCATTTGTATCGTTCCATCCCTTCAACTGCCCGGCGCGTAACGCCATGCACGTCGCGACTGGTTCCATATGACGCTTTGACTCTTTCAGGCGGTCCGTGGATACCGCCAGATGTTGCACGAGATTGACTGCCTCGAGTTTTTCCTGTTGATGTTCGAATATCGGAAAATGAGCTCTCGACAGAGTGTCCGCGATGAACATATACGTCCCAGGAGTGTACAGCAGATTTATGTCTATTTTTGGAGCCGGAAAAGCATTCGTTGAAGACGTCGAGGGACACTGTGTAACGTTTTATTAGCTATTGACACGAGCGGTTTGTGGTCAGTATACACTGTATTCTTCCTACCAAATGTATAGTTGTTGAATCGCTCCATTGCGTTGATGATGGCAAATATCTTCTTTTCGATCTGTGCATAGCGCTGTTCCGCCACTCTGAGCACCTGACTACGGAAATCCAAGAGTTTCACCATCCTGCTTTGACTGTTATCACACTGCACCTCCAAAGTAGAGCTGGACCATAATAATACCTACTGGTGCACAGCTAATAAGACTCTTGATGGTTGTAAAGGCTGCCTCATGCTCTTCTCCCCAACTCCGCTTTACACCTTTGTGAGTTATTTTTCGGATGGGCGTCATTATTTCAGCAAGTCTTGGCAAGAACCGGCTCAAATAATTCACCATCCCATTTAAACGACTAACAGCCTTGACGTCCTTAGGTTGTGGCATCTCCTGCACGCCCGTGATCTTTCGGGGATCGATCTTTATTCCCTCGGGTGTCAGAACGTGCCCTGAAAAATCACTTCGGTTTCCGGAGTTCAACTTTCTCGCACTTGAGCTTTATGTTCTTTTGCACGCATCGCTACCAAAAGTGGTGCAGATTGGCGTCATGTTCCTGTTCGCTTGAGCCGTAAATCATCGTCTGCTACACACGTTACACCGTCTAGATCATCAACAGCTTGCAGTAACTGTCTTTGACAAATTTCGATCGAAACCTTCAAACCAAACAGTAAACGTAGCCAACGAAAGCGTCCGAAGGGTGTGGTAAACGTCGTCAGGAAACTGGATTCCTCATCAATAACTACGTGCCAGAACGCCGATGAGAGATCAACCATGGTGAAGTACTTCGCCTTAGCTAGACGCTGCAGGACATCTTTTAACGTCGGCAGTGTATAGTGTTCTCTACGCAAAGCTTCATTCAACGATCTAGGATCTATGCACAGGTGCAAATCATCGTTCTTTTTCCTAACAATCGCGACTTGGTTAACCCAGTTCGTCGTCTCGTCGACCTTAGCGATTACTCCCAATTGCGTCAAGTTACTTAATTAGCTAGCGAACTTATCACATAATATAAACGGAACCCTTCTATCTGACAGCGCAATCTGTCGTACTGATGGATGTATTGACAAGTGAACGGAACCTACAAACATCCCCAAACCTGGGTTGAACACGGACGGATACTATTCACTAACATCGTGCTCCGCTTCACATACATACAAAAATCGGTCATGGTTAAATGAATAAAACCGACATTGGATAAAATCAATGCAGAGAATCGACGTGAGCTCTTCCTTCACGATCACGAAGTTTAACTGATGTGAAGAGCCGTCTTTGGAATTGATCACTTTGATTGTGACCAAACCTTTCGACTGGAGCTTGGAACCGTTCCACATGCGTAAGGCTCCCTGATCAGATCGCACATGAATTCCTGAGCACATTTTCGCTGGAATTATATGGTGGCACTTGAGTCCAACTGAAACCGCACCATCTCGTCACCAATCAATACACTTGCGTAGACGCACTTCTTTGTTCCTGTCCGCGACACGTTGCTGATTGAATGTTCAGAGTGGGAGGACATTGTGTCATGATTCAGTGCATTCACCTTCGAAGGCTGACAACATCGAGCAAAATGATTCCGTCTGCCGCATCTGGCGCAAATGCAGTCCCAAGCCGGACATTGATCGCGATCCTTTCGGGTGTCGCGCGGCGCAGAATTTGTAAGTTTCCTGTATCTTCATATCAAGCATCGCAGTTTTGTCAGGTAAACTGGATACGGCACATAGCCTTGATTCAGTCGGCGACCTCATTTGCTGGATATGGTGTGCAGCTGATATTTCAAGACATTGACTGACCGATAACTGCCGTTGCCGCAATAGCCGCTGGGTGATGTTTTCATCATTAATCCTCGGCACGATTCTATCTCGGATGAGACTGTCAGCCATACAATTTCAAAAATTACAGGAACGAGCCAGGATCTTCAGCTCCGTAAGATAGTTCTAGATAGTTTCGTTTGCGTGCTGGTTTCGTGTTAAAAGTGAGACCACTGATACGTCTCGTTAGTCTGGTCTTTGCAGAAATCACCGAATTTCCGGAGGACAGCTTCCAGATCAGCTGGATCTCCATTCTTTTCGTACTACTTCGTTTCCAAGACGCGGCGTGCTTCATCTCCGATCGTGTCTAAACATCGCCCATCGATACACCATCGGTTGTTGATTCAGTCGCACCAATACACAGAAATCGACCCATTTGCTTTTCCAGTCTCCAATTATTGGCCAACCAATGTTCTATATTTAGGGGGGCCGCTGGTTGTGCTCCAATCAGCAACTGAGCACCATTGGGTGATCTTGACTTGGTTTCCTCTGACACCATGTCGCAGAACTCGGTCCTTCCGAGACATATTCAGAAAAGCGAGCTCAGCAAAAATGACAGCCTGACAAGTATGTAGGAACCTCTATATAAATAACCAAGTCATTTTCATAACTAAGGAAGCTGTTGCACTCATGAGATTCTTCCTTTGAATCAGTTAAACAAACCCGCTCCAGCGAACCAATCAGCGCGTAGCCGAAAATTGCACAGGTGCCCAATCAACTGCTTTGTTCACATGCGGCACGTTTGCCGTTTGTGTGTACAATCCTATCAAAACTACCATTGCAAAATTGTAGCACCATTTGGCTTTGATGCTATCGCAGATACCCTCATGCTGCGTAAGAAAGAATCCTCTATATGGGTTTGGCGATGCAAACTAAGTGGAACTTTTCAACCTGTAATGTTCGAACCAAAATGTGAGTTATACCTTCCTTCTCACAGTCTTTTTATCCCTAGTGCGTGCAACTAGTTTAGACGGGTTACACCTAGGAATAGCTGAGATCGATTTATAGCTGATAGCGGCATTGTTTAGCTGTCGTTAACAGGTAAAAACAAACTATTCGCTGTGGGAAATTTGCAATTGTTTTTCATGAAGACGACTGTTACCATCCCTTCCGTATCGAGCTGTAGATGATCTCGGCTGCTGCTAGTGCGTTACAGAACGAAATTACATCCTAGAAAGCCCTAAAATTACTGATACTGAGGCTTCGTTGCGCTATGAGCTAAAATGAAGTCAGTTTTGGTTCTCAGTTGAGCGCTTAATTGGTTAAAGGTAACTAGTTGCAAAGCGTCACGAATGGTTGATTTATTCTCATGAGCGTTATGCTGCTTCTGTATTTCATTCCATGAGGCTTTGTATGCACTTCTAAAGTTTTTTTACGCTAACGTGGGAGTCCATTTATAGCCTTATTACATTTCGTTGAATCCATCTACGGAGGACGTGTACGGATACTTTCCAACTTAAGATACAGCATCGACCTTACCCACATTCATTCAGCCTGCAGCTAAAGTGCATTTATAATAATAGTAATGGTCAGATGCCAGTCTGTAGATGCGCGGTTTCGGTCAAATTAATATGTGCAATCAGTAGGTTGGTAGTACATGCATGGTGTTGACGGAAGCCTTGTTGCTCCGGTTCTATGATAAATCTTTCGAACTAAATCATAGTGCCTTAGTAGAGATCGCTTCAATTACTTTCGCTAGAAGTGGTAGGAGAAGCACTATGCGGTAATCTTCTGATTCCAAATTCCTGCCATCCATATACATTGGGGAAAAGATACTCTGCTTCCATACGGTATAAACTTGCTGTTCATCCAAGCATGCCTGAAAGACTTGATGTAAGGGGTTAGCTAGTCTCGCAGTGGTCGAATCCAGCACTTTTGGGGTCAATATTATCCAATCCTAGAGAACTATCGGTGTACATCGATTGCAGCTATTTTATTACAGCTGCTGAACTGCATGTAAGGCGGATAAGTCCTGTCGTCCGGGGTCTGGGGCAAATGAGATTAACTGGTGATACGTCCTAACATTGGAACGTATTCCAGCCATAGAACGTTGACTGCGCCCTCGGATCTTTCAGCCCATCTGTCTACTGAGATGAGTGGGGAAATGTCGTGCTTCAACATCCAGAAGCTGCTCACATCCCTGTATAGTAGGTTATATTCGCACAAAATCTTTTCGCAAGGCATCTTTAGTGTGTTAAATGTGTCTTTCGGGCAAGTGTGGTACAGTGGTATCACTGCATTATTTAGATGCTGCATGTATCAGGATTAGGACTAGCTCTGTACGCACGCCAAAATGCTTTCCTTATTTCCAATTATTTTCTACTCCTACTCTTAATGAAACAAAGTGTATTTGTAGAAGGCATTTGCTTAGTTCCTGACGCCGATGTGATCAGGTCGCTGAGTTTGTCAGCAAACTTCATCCAAATGCTGTCAATGGAACCGTCATCCAAAACCTCCTAGGTGGCTTTTCATCGTGTGCTGTTGGTTTATCGTAATGTGTGCTTGTACGTACAGAGTTAACATGCACCTGCGGATACTCGGCACAACGCAACGTCATGACGTGATAACTTGACCATACGTGCTTCTCCAGCACTGGGCTATCAATCATGTGCCACACGCTTGTATGCACTAAACTCAGTACTGGTGACTGCTTTAACGGTCTGGGCCTAGTAGGAGAGCTGACATGGATGTAAAGCGGAATGGCTTCGATGGGCCCTTGAAGCTTCTTGAATTGCTCAATGGGGGATGCCTGAACTTCCAGGTCGTGAACAGTGAAATCATTTCGGCGTAGAAAAGGACTGTAGCTTGATTTCAGGACCTTTCTTGAGGAAAATGTCAGATGTGAGTTATTCTCTGGAGTGGATGTTGTGGGAAGATAAACGACATCCGCGAAGCATGTGCCTTTGTTTCTTAGTCGTAGTCAGCACCAGAGCGAGTCTGGGTCTAGTGTCCCTGGGTCATCTACTGACTCACACTGCAGACCACTGAAGTAATAAGGATGTAACCCAGCTCTTCTACTGGGACGATCGTCTCGAACAAGAGAAATACCCTTTATCATGGCTTCATTGCCGGCAATTTCAGAGTTTGATCACTTGACGTTTTTGGAGTCGTGGTCCAAGACTTTTGATGCCGAACATGGCCAAATTTCAGCACGATTGTTGGAGGGGTTTTGTGCATTTATCTGCATGCAAGAAAATTTTTGCTTACAAATCGGGGGACGTGCGTTCGGTGTGCAGTGTTTCGCCGACCGGTGAAGGGCCGGGCGCTAATCGTTTATTGGATGGGGCATTGATGAGTGAATTTGTCTTCTATTTAGCGATCTCGTAGAAGGCCCTAGATTGCGTGTGACGTATGGCTTGTGGTTACCAATTTTGACAGCTGGCTGAGTATATTATCCAAACGATTACAAGCACACAGTTCAAACGAATTTCACATTTCGTCTATTTGCTTAGTTGATACGGCCTGAAGACAGGCCTCAGAGGGCAGTTTAACGCGAACCGCATTCCAGCGTTCCATTACTCTTGCTGGCATGTGTTTGGATCCAAGTGCCATCCTCAGTATCCTTGGGGAACATCTTTGATAGCCTCTTTGTTAGCCTCTTAATCAATTGCACTACGACGTTAGCCAATGGAGAGGGTTGGGCAAATGTGGCGCTACTGTGCCTGACCTTATGTTGTTTCCTGCTCATCATGTCATCCAGTATCAGAAGCATCTTGAACTAAGATGTTATAGCCACGGATTCCCTCAAGGATTCCTGGAAAGCGTGCTATGTTTGTTTATGCTCGCTCCACGGAATATCAGTGAAGACTTGAACCTAACGAGACCTACTCCGGAGATGATCTGTTGATAGCACGGCTGATCAAGGAAATTTAGCATAATTTGGAGAAGTCTCGGTTCACCATAGTGTTTGTGCTTGAAATATCGGCGACGCATATCAGGTTGGCAGTTCTAGCCACAGCACCTAGCACGTGCGGATATGGTTCCACTAACTAACGTCATCGAGTTGCCTTCCTTTTAGGGATGTTGCGTCGATTCGGAAATATTCGTGTAGCTGATCGACGATACATTGGGTTGTTTCTTAACGACCGTTGCTACAGCATGTGTTGTGGTCAACTACCTCGAGTCTGTAAGCATCCGATAATGCCTATATGCGTTGGCGTTCGCCTCCCTCTTCTGTTTTGCATCCAGTGGAAGCAGCTGGGGGCAAACATTTTCACTGGAACAGTGCAACAATGGAACAATGTGTCTTTAGTGGCAGCCACAGTCCAACCATCGGTCGTGTCAAATCAAGTCAAATCACAATAGGCTTTATGCATCCAGATGGGTACCTTCGCAGCACTTTACAAAACTGACTACGGATGGGCGAAAATTACATTATCAGAACAGTAAATTTGTATCAATGGAAAAAGGACAGTGTGTCACTTGAATAAATGCTGTATAAACGAACAAAATTAAATATTTCTGGACAGATTAATCTAAAGCTACCTTCTGTTGACAAGTCAGCGTTGAAAGTTAAATTTCCAATCGGGACGTTCCATCTTCAATTGCGCAGTATCTTAGGCATTTCTAAAAAAGTAAGCGAAGGATAGCAGTGGTGACCTGGGGTCTAGTTTGAAAAAGGTCAAGGTTAAAATATTCCGAGAAACCTACTATCTCGATAGCGATATTGCGAAAACGATGTTCAACCAACAAACTTCCGAGGCTTCGGGACAGTTTTGTGAGTGGCAACTCCCCAGTGGTTAGTATTTTAACCGGAATGGGAATAGTTGGTTCAAGTGTTTCCGGGACGCTGGGGGCATTGAAAGGTGACATTTTCACGGGATACCCATCCATTTTCTTAGGGATTGAAATGGATCCTATTAAGGAAGACTGGACCCTACAGTTCGCTATGCATTCGCCTAGGGAAACAATTTGCCTGTTCGTCATGTACTCAGTCGCCGCCACTATTATTCTGCACTTTCCAGACAATTCAAATTCGATAAGGATCAGTAAGATAGCCGTGCTTGCTGTGAGAAATCGAGGAGAGTCTAGTTTGTTGTTGCCACTTTAACATAGCACCCTTGTTCTGACCATTCGAGTGCATGAATTTGAAGCACAGGCGCCTTTCGTTTGCGTAATTTTACTCACGGTCTCTTTTGATAGATCGCTTCTGACCATACTATAGGCGTGTTCTTGCTCGTAGTGCCCTCTCGTATCTTAGGTCATCGGTGAGGGCTTGTTTCGGCTCAAACTTCGGTGTGCGGGGCTGTCTACGCTTTCCTTTGCATTCTGTACAAACCGTCTCCTAGGTTGAAGCCTCTGTAGCACGAAACAATACGTCACCGAATGTAACGGGCAGGTGAAGCGACTGGGTCGAGTGTTATGAAGTAAACAAAGTTGCCACACATGAAAGGACGCAATATAATTAGTAGTATCTTTACTTCGCCGCTGATAGTTGTTGCTTAA